TTTAAATTTGACGTACAAAATGATATTTATTATTGAATACAATCCTTGGAGTTTGGATATAGTAGAGGTCTTGCAGGATAATAATAGCAAGTAGGTAAAGACACAATCCCTAACTTTTCCTCATGGTGGGAACTGTGTGAAGTGTGAAAAGAAGATGTCTATTGCACTGAGCTTAATCTGCTCTTCACTTTATTATTGAAAAAGAAGATAGAGGGAAAGAAGAAAAGGTGCCCATCAACCCTTCCCCCCTCCACACACACAAAAAAAAAAGAAAAAAAAAAAGAATATGAGTATTCATTCAAAATAATGATTAATACATATTTCGGTTAAATATACTGTACAATATATTTAATAAAAAGTTATTATTTTTTATCTAAAATAAAATGCAAAAAAACTTAAAAATGTGACAATGCATACAAGACATAAGAATTTGCTATACTTATATTATATTTAAATAATTGAACTGGAATAAGCGTAAAAAAATGTATTGAACTAAATATGTATCAATCATTTTCCATTCATTAAACACAATACATGTTCTTTAAGAAATTTTAAGAAACTCAATTTATAACCTTTAGATGATTAGTGTATTTAGATAGAGAAAGGACGGTGTTATAAGAACAACTGTTTTATACTGTTTTTCATACAACTTCCACATCTTATTAAATGAGTGGATGATTCAATAACATGGGTTTCAGATAAATTAAAAGAATCAATTATTTTAACGACACGTTAAATTGTATAAAACGGTTGGTCAAAAAAATCATACAAAAATCATTTTCCGTTGGAGAATTTCTAAGATGAATTTTATAACTAGATGAAAGTTTTAGATTTCTTCCCAAAATTAAATTTTTCTTTGATTGCCAAAAAAAAAAAAAGTGATTTAGAATGAAAGAAATATATAGTTTAGGAAGCCTTATAGTAGCCTTGGTATTTGGTTATAAAAATCTTCCTTTTTTTAAGTAAAGTATGGAATAAAGGCATTTAAAAATAAATAAATAGATAAAAAACATCGAAAGTGCCTTCAGGGAAATGAAGAATGTATTGACTTAATTAACCCAATGTAAAACAACCAACATTCTGTTGAAAACATTTGCGTGTTCAGGGGTGACAAAATCATCATGTGCTTTAAAATTAAACATGACCAACAAACAGACATCCAACTATATATCGGACTTAAATTTCATTAACTTTTTGCTTGTCAAATTCTAATAATCCTAAAATTTGAAGATTCTTTTTTGGTTAAACATGATAAGGATATGATAGATCTGCCAAAAGAGGGGACGGCTGGGACCTCTTTGAGACAAGACTTTCCGACACCCTATTCACTAGGTTGTCCCTCTCCTATTGTGTTCAATGTTGAACAGCCACTGAAGTTCAGTCAAGTTCAGACAACGCGAGTGGCGCAGAATTCAACTTAATCGTCCAAATTCAAATTAGCGGAGACAGGGAAAATTAAGTCCGTTGATCTTTCTTTTTCATGAGTCGCGGGGGTCACTGTGGGATTTAGAGTTTTTGGTCCAGCCTGATATAGATTGCCTTGTCTCCCTTGTAATCAAAATTTAGACAAAGAGTGCTCGTGTGCGTTTGATCACAGCTTGCACAAATTATTTAAAAAAAGAGGTGAAATGCTCGGATGTGGGTAGCATTTGACACTGTCCCGGCCCGATCGCTTCCCTCGTTAGCTTGCCGGGGACCCCTACAGCCCGCGCGACACGTGAATCCCTCAAGAATTTCAATGAATCGTTCCCTTGCATTCTTGTCCATCCCAAATGCTACACTGTCTTCCAATTTTTTAATTAAAGTTACTACAGTACGTTCTAATTAGAAATTTTTTTTGTATAAACCTATGTTCTCATTACTAATATTGTTTTTTGTTTGTAGTATAATGATCATAGCTTTTTATTTATTTATTTATGTATTTTTATGAAAAGATATAATATAATTCATCACAAAATTAATTAATGGGGTCGTGAAATACCAAAATAAACAACCGAGACCAGAGTACTAGCCTGTGAGCCCTGCATCCCCGAACCCTGTAGGACTGACCGAAACTACAAACACTATCGTTCCCCTCCCAATTAGGCAACAGTGAAATGAAATACAAGAGGATAAACCTCAAAAGATGCTAAGCTAAGTTATATAAAGCCCCTCCTGTCACTACAAAAAATAAAATAGATGACATTAAGGGACAAGTTTTGGTCATGACGTAGATATTAACGTACACAGTATTATATTTAAGTGATGTTGGGGACAATTCAAATGAATCAACCCAAAAAACCCCTTGAAAACTCACATTGATGACGCCTTATCCTTTTAGTTGTTTTCAGAAGAATCGAACTGTTGTCCTCAAAACCCTTCTTAGTTTGGAGACAAATTCAGATTTAACATACCCAACGAAATTTTTAAAACTTTATTTAGGAAAATTTGTACTTGTAAAAGCCATTAACATCCCAAAGTAGTGGCTTCTCTATTTTAGTCCTGTGGGAAAGAAATTAGTTTGGATGAAAAAAAAAAAAAAACGAAAACTCAATTAATATTGATGAGTTCATATATCTCTGATTTTTTTGAGGATAAATGTTATAATCCAGATACTGTGCAAAAAGAAATTATAATCCAGATTGATTTTTTCTTTTTTAGAAAACGTTTTTGTGTTGTAGCATTGTTTTTTTTTTTACTTAAAATAATGAACTTTACAATAAGGGATAACCCTTCCCTTCTCAAACCCCTCCCCCACCCATACCCAAAATTCAAATTTAAAATTTTTAATATGGAAATTTAAGCTCCTAACCACTTAAACATCCCATAATGAATTGTAACATAGTTTCTTAATTGGAATTGCAAGTTGGTTTTAGAAAATGATTTTATTTGGCTTCTCTATTGTGATTTTTCATCATTTGGTGTATGTCATATATTTTCAAAAAGGAAAATTATTAATACACATTTAGTTCAATACTTTTTGACACTCATCTCTGGTTTAGCTATTAAAATATAAGATAAATACAATCAATTTAGTTAATTCCTACATCATATATGTATACCTATATCTTTAAGTTTATCTGCTTTTAATTTTATATGCCTTTAATTTCAAACAAAAAAA